AAATAGAACTGATTGATTGCTCTATTGTCAAATTCAGTTCCGTTATCAGTACGAACTTGGGAAACTTTCAAACCACGTGAGCTAAAGTGGTTTTCTGCAGTCAAGATAAAATTCTTGAAGTATGCATTAGTTTCATCCTTCGTATTGAGAGGAATTATGTGAGCCCATCTTGAAAAGTCATCAACAATTGTGAGAAAGTATTTCTCACCAGCAAAACCCGGTGTTGAGAACGGTCCGCTCACAGCAGCGTGAAGTAGTTAGAGCGGTGCTTTTGCCCGTGTAGACGAAGCTTGCTTTGGAAAGAAATGAGTTAGCTTTTTGGAAACACAAAAGGAGCACTCAGTAAGCTTAGGACCGGAATGTAACCCCAAAGTCTCATAACAGCCGGAAACAGATGACCAAGCGCAAAATGACTAGCAACATTCGGAACAGCAAACATATCGTCAGCAACTGGGGCATAATCAAGTTCACATAAATCAGGACCACAAGCCGTAGCAATCTTACGGACCATTAGGAACAATCAACCGACGAATAAAGTTTCATGCTCTCATCCCGAGGGCAAGTTGAAGCGAAGTGGCTCACAACCTTTTGCTGTCTATCTATTCTTGATTGAGTATCCATTCTTAGTGATATATTATCTTATGTTTGTTGCTTCTTTTATATGGAACTTACTAACAAACTAATGCTTCTCAACACAAATACAAGGGATAAACCTCTTGTATTTATAAACTCATCACCCCAGTTAATCTTTCCAATTTTAGATTAACTTGATGCTTTGTCTTCACAAGGCTCTCATCTCCTATCTCAACATGCTCGGCATTGCTCATATCTAGATCCTTATTGGCTTCGACATACCATCTCAGGAACAAGCTGTCCATAATTGGAGTAAAAATTGTTCTTCAAGCGGGCTCTGTCGGGCAAAAAAATTTCTCACCAGTATTACGTAATATTGCTAATTTGCGTCGATTCAGGTCGATTCACACCATTACAAACCTCTACTGTTCTCTATATGGCAAAAGTAGATTCACTGTTGTCGATGCAAATACATACATGCTACTTACGATAATATCGTGGACGCCTTCTTCGAAGCATATGGTTTTTGACAGGTCTGATCTCCGAGAGTCCATTGTACAACTTGGTGTACGTCATGCAGACAATATTGTAGATGGACATTTGGTACTTCCAGAACGGTTAAACTGGCAGCGCTTGGTGGATGATGACTTCTATGAAGCGGTTTTGGAATACTACAACGATAGACCAGAAATCAGACTAGCTGACCAAGAACTTTTAGTTCTTCTAGGTCATTACAAGCCAAGGGAGTTATCATTAGTTCAGCTTCTTCTCAATTTTGTTTACAGAACATTACCGAAAGAATGTCAGTATGATCCAAGTAGTTATCTCGAGGAACGTGTACTTGTGCACTCACCGTTCCACGTGCAAGAGCTTAGCGTTCATTTCCATGAGGGCTTAATCCTAGGAAAGCACAAATTTTTATCCTATGAAGAACTGCTACCTTTCAGCTATCAGAAGTATTTACCTTATGTGAAGCAATTATACTTTGACGACGATGTTCCACCAATTTGTTGTGATACCCGTGCCTCTTTGTCATACAAATATTATTTACCAGACCGATTGGAAGATCCTAGATACAATGAGTTTCTTCTGGTTAGTGAAGGTAATAAGTTTTGGGAAGCTGTGAAGTCGTTTCCTTGTGAATACAACCGAGGTACTTTTGCTCTTTGCAGTGAGATAGCCTTGGATATAGAGAAAGGCTACCCGCATTGCTTCACTTTTGCTCAATTTATTAAAGTATTTCCATTTATGAGGGGAATGAAAATGGGATCGTCAAGCACTTCAACTTTTGTTTCTAGAAAACCTTCATATTTTAACAACTATATCCAGTATGCCATGATGGTTTGTTCAAGCAACTACTCAGAAGAACAGATGAGGAGAAAAAAGAAAGCGAGGACCGATTCCCCAAAGCTAAGGAACCGTCTGAAAATTGTTAGCATTGATTGTCCTGTTAAATACAAAATAACTATAGACTTCAAGCATAAAGTTGTCTTAATTCGATCGTACGAAAAACATTCCAAGTTATGCCATTTGTTTCAGAAACGCAAAGGGTACACTATCATGAGGAAATTAATGACGATAATGGACTCCAATCAATCAAGTACATTATATATGAACACAATGTATGACCATAGTAAGCTTGAATATTATGGAAGGGATCAAATTTGCTTAAAAAATATAAGGGTGGCGAAAAACATTTCGACGAATACCCGTTCGAAAGACCTGCTGGGAAACGATTATATGACTGACTTCCATATCCTTAATAAGCTAATCCAAAGCAAAAGCGGAAATTTCAATTTCAAAGACCGTCAGTATTCGTTCACTTTCAAAGAGGAAATGGTTGTTGAAAACATTTTTTACGACAGGCTACAAGGTTTTTTGATTGGATCAAAACAATCTTTATTGGATCTATCAACACAGGTGGTTTTTGGAATTGACGCAACCTTCAACGTCACACAATATAGGAGCTTAAAGTTGCTTACAGTGGTGTATCAGAATATTCAAACTAGGAAAATCGTGGTAGGGTGTGTTGGGTTTCTCCCTGGATCTGAATCTACGGGAAATTATAGTGCATTTATCTCTGCTCTCAAGAATAGAATTTCGCTTTTGAAAGGCGGAGAAGAGGCTTTTCCGAACCTCAAATACATTGTTACTGATGACAGCAAAGCAGCTCACAACGGACTGAAGGAACACTTCGGAAGTAATGTCAAAGTTGTTAAATGCCTATGGCACAAAAGGATTAATTTTGAGACTCATCTTGACAAGGTTGGCGTAGATATCATGATGAAGGTTATGTGGGACCGCAACCCTCTGAAGGCAAGGGCTTGGCTTGAGGCATTGAAGGAATACTATCATTTGGCCCTCAAGGCAGCATACATGAAGCCCCGTTCAGAAAAATTTACATTGCTGGTCTACAAGCGGGGAATGAAAAAGAATTGCGTCAAAATTAAGAGCCTACTTTTGAGACGATCCAGATATCTTTTAAAGGTGAAAAGCTTTTTGAACTATATTGTGTCATTAGAATCAGACTGCGAATCATGGTGTTTGTCATACCGATGTGTACTACCTGATGCTTATAGCATAGACAACGTTCCCGAGATTACTGATGAAATAAGAAAGCGAGGTGTTAGGGCTTTGAATCAACTGGCAGGAGAAGAAGAAATGAGCGTTTTACAACAGCATGAACTTAACTTACTATATGGAAACATATATCTTTCACTAGCAAACAGAAATGAGGGACGGAGCGAAGAAGTATACTGCCACGTCAAGGAACTGGAGCATGAGTTTAACAAATCTTATTCGTTGTTTACAGATCATCTTGACAACCCCCAGTTTGGATTGCTGATGCTTACAACTTCCAATAATGAGAGCATCCACAACGCCTTGAAAAATCATTATAATATGAAGCATTGCCCTCATCTTGTCGATCTATACATCAAGCTACAGAACTACTTTTATTCGAAGATCACAAAACCAAACTTTTACTCCATTGTAGTAAGGCATGATTTTCCTTTTGTTCGTGATATGACCCTTGGTCAGCAAGTTCAATTCAATCGAGAGATGGATGATTTCACGAAAGAGTTTGTGGCAGAAGAAATAGTTAAAGCAGAAGTGCATGGCGCAACGGTTACTGCTACTCTTTGTGGATGCAGAGTTCGGGCGAAAAATTGTGTCCCATGCCGTCATATGCTACAAAAGTTACACCAGTCGTGTACCAGAGAAGCACGATCTCAACTTGGCCTCGATCTGGAAAGCCTCTCTAATTCAGATTTGAGCGTTGACATTGTTGATCAAGATGACAAAATAGACATTCTTGCTAGCCAGCTTTTGGAAACAGCACTAAAGCAAAACACCTGTTACCGAAAAATCGTTAAGCGACTGGCTGACATTGAAAATGTTGTTCGGGAATCCAAGCAGTGGGAAGACATAGACTTTTCTGCAAATCTCAACCTTATTCGAAGAAAGACCAGCGATAATTCAGCTCTGTCATACGAACTTGCAAAGGAAATTTCAAAAGAGGCCAAAATCAATATAGATTTGGTTGCTGAAATGTTCCGGGATCTACGTACAGAGTCAGATAAAAAGAAAGTAGAGCATTTTTTTTCAAATATCAATGACAATATTAAAAATCTAGTAGATGGCGTACCATCTTTCAAAGACGCTATTCGTGTTATAGATTTTGACTTACTGTTACAGTCGTTTGGAAAAGGTCATGATGTTGAGGAGGATCATACTAGTGGTGAGAGAAGTAGCAGTGAGGACGAGCTTTCTGTGGTTGGAACTGAAAATGAAGATGATAAAGAGGAAGACCCAGGAGAAGGCCTTTTGAAAGAGAGTGATGATGACGAAGGTATGTCTTTGACAGATTTATCTGATTGAGCATTTTATACGTGATTAATTGAGTATCTACTTAAGTATATGATGCATGAAAACCATAAATTAATGTAATCAATATTAAATATACGTTAAAACAGAACCCGTACCTAGAACCCCCTGCTAAATTAACCACTTAGTTACATTAAAGTTAAAGCGCACCGCTCATATTATGTTGAGATAAGATGCCGAAGCCAATAAGGATCAAGAGATAAGATATAAGAATCTTATTATGACAAGGCATTTGAGTAATCTAAAACAAGAAAGTCCAGCGCCGTGATACATGTATAATGGAAAGTCTAGCCGAAGGTATAAATGTATAAATACAAGAGGGTTGTCCCTTGTATTTATGTTTGGGAGTATTAGTTTGCAGGTTAGGTATATTAGTTATATATAGACAAGCAAACAAACATAAAAATAGAGATACTACTAATAATAAATATTACATCAAGAATAAACAGATTACAACAAATAGCTTAGTTCTATTTTGACCTAGAGACCCTTGCTTATGAAACAAAGTCCTGAAAGACTTACTGAGTTTTAGTCGATCTATCCTTGTTGATCTATCCATAATATAGTCTTTGTTTGTTTTGTGTCTTTCACCAGGACGTTGGGAAACTTGCATCCCTAAGAACCTGCACCTAGATCCTTCATTCTAAAGTGTGAAGACAGAACGTCTTTGACAAAGGTAATGGAGGAGGAAACATTTAAGAGAATCAACAAATCATCAACGTATAACGCAACGAGTGTAACCGACTTCTCAATAACTAACGGATAGACCCCGAACTCAGACATCGACCGAATGTTAAAATCCATCAAGTGCTCGGATGCTTCACTGAATCGCACCATGGTGGGGAAATTATTGTTTGCTGAGAATACAGTGAGAAGCGATTTGGCATGCGGCCTCGGCCCTATCCAGGTTCATCAAAACCCCGTATGCAAATCATTATGCTGCTGCTAAACATGTTCTTCGGTACATAAAAGGTACTCTCGGTTTAGAACTGGTATTCAAGAAGTGTTGAGATAAGATGCCGAAGCGCATCTAAGTAATCTGAGACACTGTTTCACATTACTTAGAGGCCTTGTTATTAAAAGATTCTTATCTCTTATCTCTTGATCCTTATTGGCTTCGGCATCTTATCTCAACACTTGTCATTACAAGGCTCTTCTCTAATGCCTTGTCTTTTATAAGCCTCTTTCTCTAATTTATTGATACTTATTGACTTCGGCATATTACCTCAACAGTTTCAAGTCTATGGTTTGTTCTTAAAAATGGAACCAAGATTAAAGGTAAAGTTTTCATAAAGAACCTATATAAGCAAGCATGGAAGCAGACATAAAGTTGGGCGTGTGGCGTAGTTGGTAGCGCGTTCGCTTAGCATGCGAAAGGTCTTGGGTTCAACTCCCAACTCGTCCATTTTTTTAAAGCTAAAAGTTATGAATCACTTTGCTTCGACTTGTCGTAAAAACAATAGCCTAAAGCTAGATTTGTGCATTGGCTATCCAAAGTGGCAACATCTATGCCTGTTGTTGCAAAAAAAGCTAGCTTCAATACGATTTTTTGACAAATTCAAGAATCTTGAATTTGTGTACCGATTATATTGCTTAATCTTCCAAGTTTCGGATTAAATTTATTTCTTATCTCATAAGGGTCCTCTTATTGTGTTAATTGTTGGAGTCTACTTATCCTTGATGGTATAATCATTTTCTTATATCCACTTTCTTATGGTATATACCACTTTTTGTTTAATATTTTACATACATCAAAATTCAAAGTCAAACTTAGAGTTAGAGATACAGAAATAGAAAATAAATATACAACATGTACAAAAAACAAAATAAAATACAATACTAGTGCTTCTTTATTAGAAACCTCACCTAGGACTCACCGCTTGTGCTAGCAACGCGCATCTTCTTATTCCCACTGATCGATAAACTCATTCATCCGCTTATCGATCAAATCGGCACACTTGATGACCCACGATCCTTGTTCATTGTAAGTATCTGCGTTGGTTATCATTTGTTTGGCCTCACCAATGAAGTCATCCCACGTAAGCAACATCTTAGAATCTAGTTGTTTCCTCATTTGATCCAATAAAACAACATGCTTGATAATTTTGTAATAATCTGCATATAACTTCCTTGAGGGTAATTTCATAAAGACGGCAGCAACATTATTGCCATCTACATCAGTAAGTTCCTCCAGTTCATCAAGCATTGAATAGGCCCGTTGAACCCATGCAGCTGGAGCCGGTTTTCCTGTTGAAATGGCAGTCACCTTTTTCCCATTCTCCTTGATGATAGCTGTTGATCCTCTAAAAAGTCTTTGTCTCTTTTTCGAAGGGACATCTTCTTCATAGACTTCCTCATCGCTATCGTCATCAGATGTACGAATCATCAACATCGATATCATCAACGTCGTCGTTGTTTTGTTAGTGATTCCATCGGCCATATCTTTGTTCTCAATCATCGAGTCATCGGCACTTCCACTTCTATTCTCTTTCGTTTTACGAAGCTTTTCACTACGCGTGCGTTACCCTACCTATTTTGGGTTACTTCAATGCTTTCTTATAATAAGGATCTGTATTTCGTGCTCATAGATTCTCTTGTCTCTTTTATGTGTTATTTTTCCTAATTAGACTCTCTAATCTCTTCCTATCTCATTTCGATAATTTATCGTCAGCTCCTGTGTCTTATCCCAACAGAATTTGTATCTAAAGTACTAGATTCGTTGTTAATTTACGTACATGTAAATTTAGCAACAAACTCAAAACAAATCATACCATAACTAAACCATTACCCTTTATGCAAAATAAACCTTTAGAAATGCGATTTTGTCTAGAGAAGCAAGCGGCTTGATTTTCTATGACGTTGCTTTCCATTGCAAGTGTAACATTCTGCTTCTCAAAGCTTTTCATAGATAGAAGAGAAATATTAAAAAGAAGCTCTTGATATCGAACCCTGCTTTAACGTCGTCTTCTAAATTTTTTCTATTGGGTAGTTACATACTTGTTGCTTTACATTGCCTTGAAAAGGGTGGTAAAATATTAACAGGAGGTAAGAGTAAGGATACCTTCAGTATTCGTTGAAAGATTGACACATGGTAAGAGGTGTACCCCCAACACCCTTAATACATACCATGCCAAAAGAAGAGTTTGCATGGAGAAGAGTTTGCATGTTCATAAGCCACGGAATTAACTAAAATTGCTGAGGAAGTCTAACTGATATCGGAGCCTATAAATACCAAAAATATTCTTCCTTGTAATTATGTGTAAGACATTGAGTCAGCTAACATAATATAGGCGAATTTATAGGTATGCAATAAATTAAGCAAAAACTACATACTACAGATATATTATGCAGGATATCTAATCATGAGCAAAATAGAAATAAAAGATAGAATAAGAGCCGCAAACTATTTTATCTAGGATGATTCATTTTATCTCATTCCTTATCTCTGTGTTGCTTATGCCTAAGTCCCGCTACATGACATTCTATTTCAAAAGATGCATAGTTTTCGATACAGTTCTGCTATAAGTACTTTCAATATCAACAACCACTTATTTTAGAAATTTTCATCTTACCGGCTACCCCATCAATATTCAAAAGCAGGAATAACTTCAAACATTCTCTTTGCTGAGATATGGTAGTTCAAAAGAAAGGATGAAAATGCCCAACGTAAGGTAAAGATTCGTATATAAATTAAAAATCGCTGCTTATCTTTGATAGTGAAATATAATAACCTTTATTAATAATAATAACCTTATTTTTATGTTTGTTATCTGTTTCTTTTATACGTCACATCCAATCAATTAAATAAACTCAATGTCAAACATAAAAAGACAGAAAAATCCTTACGTTTTTATCAACTTTTTATATCGGTGAGTGTGTGCTTTTTTAGTTTCAGATCAGTCTAGTTTAATTTAAGACGAGCATAGGGATTTTTCTTTGCCGAAATGGATTCTTTTTAAAGTAAGACAAATTTTATTGCTCTAATTTCATTGATGATGGACGTTTACAAATCTTCGAAATATTTATAATATCATCTAAAACCTTTTGAATGTGACTTGATTGAGTAGTCTGATGCATTTTTTTCGAACTAAATTTCTATTACCGTGGCGTCTCCAATCTCGTCATTTTAAATGTTTTGCAACCGCTCGGCACAGAGATAGTTATTTTTAGCTCATTAAGATATAAAAAAGATGAAGCTTGAAAAGAGTGACCATGTACTCATTATCGTCAAAAACTGCTTGATGGACAAGAACAATAATCTGTTTTTAGCCACTGCAGTGAGTGCCCTTTCTAAGTTGATTTGTTTGCCATTTTACATCCAGGATCATTTTGCTAGATCAAAATGACACGCAATTGGATTTTTGGGGTTGGCCCTATCGGAAGTAACCAAACTCGCTCAGCAGTTGATGCTAAATACGAAGTGATTTTGAGTAGTAGGAATTAGTAGCAAAAAATGGTTCTTTGCCAGCTAGCTTCAATTTGGAAACAAATTTGTTTTGCCATAAAAAGAATGGAGAATATAATTCGGATATATGTGCTTTATGGATACTGGAGACTATACGTAAATTTCACATTTCCGCTCTCAGAATAACTTTGAAGCTAGTGAAACTTCAGATTGTAACAATGTAGCCAACTTAATCTCAAAACCGTGGTTGAGTAAAGTAAAAAATTGCATTTATTGCTTGTTTGGGTAAAGTATACGTTTACTGCGGGAATTCTGCGGAATACCTTATTTATCAGTTCAACTGTATAAACTATAATCCAAAAACTTCGTCCAATTAATGAATCATATTTTCGTGTACCATGCGAATTGTTTCAGGTATGCAACACGTAGTATTCTGAGAAATAAAATTTTTGGAAATGACGATGGGGGACAGAAAAGTGCGTGGAACATTGCTACCCCATTGACTAAACGATTAGGCCCAAATAAAGTATTACAGGGAAAAAACACTCTTAAAGGCAAGAGCTAAATAAAATTGGCGTGGCTTTGATTTTAATGCTTGACGGTAAATTATTATTTTCAAAAGCTTCTGAATCAGGTGAATACCAGGTTTATTAATCAAAGAAAATGAAATGAAAAGGTCTGTTTTAAAAAATTTAGTTTGGGACATTGATCTTTTCCGAGCCAAGGCTGTCAGTATGGTCTGAGTCTACTCCCCCACCAGGCCCGAATTCTAATTAAGAATCATGGGTTGATAGTTATGGTGAACGACAATGAGATTATACCCTATCAAATTACTCACCAGATAAACTAAAGTGTTGACGTTTTGCAAATGACCCAGTATTAAACCACTTTTAAAGCTTATCAGGAAACAGATCAAAAAAAAGATCTACAAAGAGTTTTTTTTAGTCATTAGGTAGCAATGTGGTTTGAACCGTAAGATTGAACGACACAATCATTGCATAAGTATATGACGTTTATCAGTTGTATATATGTTCCAAACTATAATGAATGTGTTGGGGTCCATAGTTGAAAGTTTATACGATATATCTTTCAAGTAAACAGAAAAAAGCGAGGACTTTTTCAGCTAACTTCCTAGCTAAAGTGGACAATCATTTAAAATTTACTACAAAACTTATAAATATCAAATCAAGACAGTCATTGATTTACTTGAGGCAACTATAGTATATCAAAACTGAAATGCATTTTTGCACTACCCAGTAGTTCAGGAGCCCAGTAAAGAGGCTAAATAAAGCCCATAGTTATAGTTATAGCCATCTGAAGCAACTAGATGCTAGATTTCTCTCCCGGGATGATCATGATGGGTTATAGAAGTTGGCTTGAAACGTAGTTCAAAATTTTAATCAGTTTTTTAGAACCAGAGGTTTATTAATAATTCAAGCTTCCATCAAAAAAGCCGATAGTAAACTCACGACATTGGGAAACCTGACATTTGGAGATGCTCTACCTTTGTTCTTCCCTGCAATTCACTGTTTCTTGTTCACTTTTTTTTCTGTGTAACCTTTATCACAAGTTATGAGCAAAAACAGAGAGCCTGCCTCTCTCGCTAAAATGGTGGGACTAGATGGTAAACATGTTGCCTTAGCTGACCCTCCACAAAATCTTATAGGGAGTGCACAGTCTATTATAGCAAAGAACACCTTCATGGAATAAACCATTGCAATCTATTTATTTTTGATGGAATACCTATTAGTGGTATATCTTGTTCCCTATTTATATAGAACTTAACATAATTTAAACAAAAGGGACAAACCTTTTGTATTTACATATTCATCACGTAGGCTTTTTTATAAGGCTCTTATCTCTTATTTCTTATCTCTTATCTGTCTAGATAGCTTGTCTCTGGATCCTTCTTGGCTTTGCCATCTTATCTCAACATAAACAGCTAAATAGGAAAAGCAGTGACTATTTTTTTTTGAATGACAATCGAATGTTAAACGTATTTGGACCGTAACTTTTTTTGCTTACATAAAATATATACAGCTTGATAAGAGGCTTATAACATCAACCATAAATACCAAGGCCTAAGAAACCGTATCTGTGTCCTGTTTCAAAATGTTTTCAGAATGTTTTACTACTGATGAACCAATGACGCCAATTTTGTGTAACCTGGTAAACACTTGCTTCTGAGACTGAATCTTGAAATATTAACCTTGGTGGCAAAATGTATTTACTTTGAAGAGTAGTGAGGAAAGAAGAAAAGTTTTGTTTTCCGAAGAAAAACTTCACTTTAGCTCAACCGCTAATTGCCTGAAGATTGGAACAAAAACTCATGAAAAGGAGAGCCAATGGAGGCTGTTAGTTTAAGAGTTGAACTTTTTGTTGCTGTAGACATTCTGGTTCAGTGCAATTTTTTTAATTGCAAGCAATTAACTTATTTTGATATCATATATAAAAGAGTGTAACAAAAGAGTGATTAACGCGTGGTCAGGATTATTAAAAGCAGGTGTTTTGTTGAAACTAGAGAATAGTAGATTAACTTGATGGTTTCTAGATTGCTTCTCTCTAGATCCTTATTGGGGGAGAAATAAAGAGACTGCGCAGAATTTCTTACTTTTTTTGAAACTACCAATTTGATTGAATATCTTTCCCACATTCACTCCAATACTTTGACCTTAAAACTGCAATTTTCTTCCCCTCCACATCATGTCCCTTTCTGTACTCACTTATCGCCTCCAAAGCATTTTTATACCCTTCAAACAACACAACTCTAGCAGTTGGAGAATAATGCTTATATTTCATTCCACGCGTAAGCACCTTCTCGTATTGACCAGTCGTTTTCTTACCCAAAACTATTTTCTCCCATCCATTACCAACGCTTGCAATTTCCTCAAGACTAACTCTACCAGGTCTTAGTAACATAGGAGGGTCCACCCTTCCGTCAACGACAGTACTCTCCAACCCAACAGTGTATTGTCCACCATCTATGACCAGGGGGATTTTTCCATCTAAATCTGCTAGCACATGTTCAGCTGTGGTTGGCGATGGCTTTGTAGATGCATTAGCAGAAGGTGCCGCCAAAGGTATATTTGAAAATTGAATAAGTGCACGTGCCACTTTGTTTTCAGGGAATCTCACTGCAAAAGTGTCCTGACCAGCCGTTACGATCGGGGAAACAAGACACTCCGGCGTATTAGGTAGCACGATACTCAATGGGCCAGGCCAAAATTTGGCTATAAGCGGTTTGTAAATCTCAGGTAGCTCTGTATGAGCTCGTAATAGTATGATAATTGAAAATGTATAGAAAATGTATGTGTATAATAAGTCATCAAGGTATGCCTGGAAGTAGAGGAGGGGTTAAAATGAATGGAAATAAGGTCGGAAAACCTTCGCTGGAGCTACTTGAACTCGATCTGGGCAAGTATTGGTATGTGGTCGCTTGGGAAGTCCTAAAGCATAATTACATATCTATTCATCCTTTCATTTTTACAAGGAAAATTCTAGAGGGTATATCTGATATTGTGCTTACGGTCGTTAACTTTTAGTCCCATTTGTAAATTCTTACCGGTATATGAACAATCTACTAAAATAACTAACTCGTCTCACCTATTTTCGTTATACCCAGCACGCACACCTAGGCTTGAAAAACAATCTGCAGAAGGAGCATATAGTACCTGATTGTTTGGTGCAAGGGTAATGATTCTTGAACATGTGATTCCCAAAAACAAATATTGTGAGGTTAAACGTAACATGATTCTTTTGAGGCAATGCTTCAGCGGTGATGATACTATCTTTTAGTGTATTGCTTTTAGATTTCTTATATAATAATACCCTTCTGCATAGCTTCAATGTAGAATCTTTGGTGACTGATTTTGAGGTTTGATAACGTTTGTATGCACTAGCCTCAGTATGTACAAATTTTGAAATTAGAGAGGAAAACTCAAAAATTACCAAGCACTGTTTCATTGACTCCTATGAATCGTACTAGATGCTATAAATCTGAATTTTAAGAGTAGGTAACAACAAGTCATCAGTAAAATATATTTCGATTGTCAAACATTGTGAATGGTATTGTTTTTAATCCAATATCTATGAGATCTCCCTACCAATTTACTTTTCATTAGGTCTATCTACTTTTTAAACAAATAGCACTTTCAGTAAGTTAAAGGTGGACACTGTGTAAGCGTTTCAAATCTTTTAAAATAAGTCTAACGAGAGAGTCATGTTAAAATGGAGTTGAGCAGGAAAAGTGTATTTTTAATAGCAAAGTTCTTTTTTCGCGTAGGTCTGATTTGATCAGCGGCTCGGTAGACGAATTACAGAATTATGTTAATACTTATATCTTCTTGACTCGGAAGCCTGTCTTATTATAAAAAACCATATAGATATATGCTTGTAAGTCATGAATGTGCCTTTAAGACAGTTTTATCTGTTATAGCTGATAAGCTGTTGCTGAATGCAATCTCTTTTATTTTCTCCACTCCACTGTTAGCTTCTCGGCAAGCTCACTTATTGAGAGTGAATTGGGTGTTTAGGACATTTTGCTATGTGTGCCACATATCTATTTTATGTTTTTGAATTTTGCTAATTAAGTATGTTGAAACGCATTATAACTTTTCTTTGCCGAAAAAGGTGATTTTTGCTTGATGAGTTACTAATTATCCCTAACTTATACTGGGTTCACCACTGCAACCGCTAAAGCTAGCAACAAAATAAAAGCCAGGCTGTGATTTCGAGTTGTTCACCGATTTATCGTATACAATTGTTTTTAGTCAAAAATGGGGCGAGACAGGTTCTTCTTTATTTTTTATTACGGCGGTTTCTTCTTTACCCTTTCGTTGGCTGATGTTTCCTCTTTTAATTAAGCTATGAACCCTCACAAAGATGCATATACGTATCTAAGTGGTGGAATGTGAACAGAAGTAATTAATTTCTGTTTATTTATTGTTTTATTTATCACTTTCTATGACTTCAAAATAATCTCATTTTTTGTAGAATATTTGATAATTTAGCACTCTTGGTAAAACTGGGGTCAAAAAATACAGTTAAGTTCAACTGAGATCTAAAATTCTCAAATCTTCTGAAATAGTTTATTTAAGGTAGCAACTGCAGTTACTTAAGCACTTGAAAAACAAACATCTGATAGATGAGGAAAATGGTATTGTTTTCTCGAGCATGCTCGGACAGAGAAATAAAATACTGACCCGCTTAACAGATTAACTACCCACTTCAAGGTCATTTTTATTCTAGATTCAATAAACCATTTGCAGTGGGGTAGTTAGTTTTGACAATTTGGATAATCAAAAGTTTCATACAAATTGCAATTCCAACAGAGATGGCTGAGGCTCAAATATGCCTGCTCTAATTGAAATAACAAAGAAGAACACAAAAAAAGGGCCTTCAATTCCTCTATTTTTTATTTTCCAGTCAAGCAACAGTTGGGAATATGAGATAGTAATTTGTGAGTAGAGGAAAGTTAAACTGATGGAGCTAAATTGGAAAAGATGGGCAAGACATCCTTGGAGCCTTGTTTCTGCTCCGGTAGCAATGTAAAGTCTTTACAAAATGTTTATTTCGTAGAGAGTTGTCGACGTTTAAATTTAACGTCACTGGAGCTCTGAAACCAATGCAAAGTTTTGTGTGAGGTTCTGATAATTCAGTAGCTAATGTTTTTAACTCTCTCCTGTTTGACGATTTTTGCAAATTTATTGTCAACTTGATAATAACTTCGATCATTTTATCGAAAAGTTTGAACGCAATGTTTTCAAGAACGCACGTAGTCTAGGGGACATAGTTGACTTAACAAAATAGAAAATAAAATTCAAGATTTCGTAGTTACGAAAGTATTCTGCTCTTAAATTTATTTGACTGTAGTAAAAGAGTTGTTATGTTTCAAAAGACATCTCATATGATTTTAACTTTCACCATCGTCAACAGGGGCTTACCATAACATTCGGTAATATTCTCATTTAATCAATGTATATCATACAATTATAAGTATACATACCCCAGCCGCTAGTCTCAAAAGTTAGCTTTCAAATAAAGCTAGTTTAATGGCATTTTAGTCTATTTATCCTAGATCTATTACTGGTAGTATATTTGTTATTATGTTTATTGCTTATTATTTTATAAATTGTTGCGATAAGATGCGGAAGCCAATAAGGATTCAAAGATAAGTTATCTAGACAGATAAGAGAGCTATCTAGACAGATAAGAGCCTTATAAAAGTAAGGCATCAAAATCATCCAAAGCTAGAAAGATTAGCCGACGTGATAGGTGTATAAATACACAAGATTTGTCCCTTGTATTCATATTTGGAAGTATTAGTTTGTAAGTCAGTTATATTAGTTATACATAAACAACCAACAAACATCGTAATAGATATACTACAAACAATGGATATTGAATTAAGAATAATCAGACTTCAACAAAACGCAAAAAGAAAGACAAGGACTAAAATTGAGACCGGCGTTATTCGGTAGTTGTAAAATTGAAAAACATCTGCTGAGTTTTTTAAAATTCAGGGCAAAAAACTTAGTTTCGGAAAAAATGTTACATATTTAAACAGCATTGGCACATGGGGTCAATAATAACTTGAGCACAAAAAGAAAGAGAGATTGATTTGATTTGACCCAGCTTATTAAAATCCATTTAAAGCATAGCTAATAAATTAAAATAAGGCAAAGTTTTATGAAATTGAATGAATGAAAACCAAAATTTTATTATTATGAAAGCCAGTTGGACTAGCTATTTATTTAATAATTCATGGCTATACCGAAGCTCTGATTCTGTTGAGGCGTTAGAACCCTTGAGGGCCAAATTTGATGAGCAACACGATAGGTTGTGTGACTTCTATGCGCAGTGCACGGCGGTTAGGTATCTATCGACGTTGATAACAATTCCAAAGTTACCATTTGATGCACCTACGTTGGCAGACGAGCAGAAGAGCGTTTCACCTTTGATAGAGCAAGGAATTGTCCAAACACCGGCTGATTATGCCAATGTGCAAAAAGCGGTTTCATCACAGCCAACAGGGGCGGTTGCGAATGCGTATATGGCAGGACAACAGGCATACGAAGCGCAGCAGCAGCAATTAGAGCAGCAGCGGCAGCAGCAGCTGCAACAACAACAGCAGGAGCTGGAACAACAAAGACTGTATTGGGAGGAGCAACAGAAAAGAAATTCGGAAGCGCAGCAGCTAGCGCAACAGCAATTGCTGCTTGATCAAGCTCAGAGGCAGGCTCAGGGCCGAGTTGCAGAATTGGAGAGAGACATTTTTGGCGTTGAAAGGCCAGTACGATAGTGACCAGTTGATGCTTAGGAGCTACGACGAA